ATTTGCTGATAAATAGGAATACTTTTTTTCTCATAGCTTGTTTTTAAAAAAGCATAATGCAAAAGGACTTGAGCTTCCTCAAATAGTAGTGTAACAGGATAGCCTTTTACCCTCCTCTGTAGTAACTTAATTATTTTTTGGAACAAGTTAGAGTATAAATGATTTTAAAAACAGAAGGAAAGCAACCTTCTGTTAAAAAAGCAGATCAAGACAAATCAGATCAAGTACAGGGCTTTTTTACAGAGGGTCCCAATTCTATTTCTGTCTTTCTACCGAATTGAGAGGTTCTTAGGTGAGTTAGTGTGTGTGTGTGTGTGTGTGTGTGTGTGTGTGTGTTGTGTGTGTTGTGTATGTTGTGTGTGTGTGTGTGTGTGTGTGTGTGTGTAGTTAGGGAGGAGGTTTATGGGACAGTGGTCTCAGGATCAGCACCTCTGGGTTAGAATGCATAAGGTAGAGCAAGACGGCACAGAGAAAGATCAACCACAATACATTTGAGACAGAAGCCTCAACCTATCATACTCTGAGCCCCAGAGCTGAGGTGGTTACTTTACCTCTTTGAACTATAATTTCTTTAGCTATAAAATGGGAGTATTAAAAGTTTGCAGATTAATATGACAGTTAAGTGAAATGAGGTAAGGAATAACAATGTCCATTTTAAACAGATGAAACAAAAGGAAGTCAACTATTTCACTCTGAGTCACACTGCTATTTCCCTTCCTAGCCCTCCCCTAGGATAGGTCTGGCCTCTCGAGCTTTGCTTCTGTTCATCAATTCCAGAGATAGTTTGCCAATATAAAACCACTTGTGCCTTATTTCTATCGAGACCTTTTGTATTCCATTTGTTCATTTTAAGGAAGAAGGAGTACATTCCTTAGGGGACCTGTATTTTTAATTCATTCCAACACTGACTTCATTCACTTAGCATCATCGAGTCTTTGCCAGTCAGACTGCATCCCTGTCCTTATAATTACAACTTGAAGGAAGCATAGCTATTGTGGATCTCTTAATGTGCCCCACTATGAATGAGACTCTGGCTCATGGCATCTAGACCTTAGAAAACAAAATTAGCTCTGGCTAATTTCTACTGAGTAGAACTCAAGCATCATAAGACATTGCTAATGTATTGGAAGGCTAAAAAGCAACTTCACAATATAAGATTTTCCAACGTGGTCACTAGTGCTAGCCATAGTCCACAACCTGGCTGCTACCATATGCACCGATAACACAACTGTGATCAAGGCCACACAATCGCTGAACATTTTCCATGAACAAGCTATCATTGCCACTAGAACCACACCCATGACCACCACCAAAGTTTGCAGAAGCACTGTGACCTCTCTGTATTGACAAATCACTAACCATCTCTTGCCTCAATAGAGCTTTCCTTACTTCATAGCTGTAGCTATTCACAATGTAGTATTTCTGCACAACGCTAATATTCAGTCATGGTTGTTAAAGGTTATAAAAGCAAAGGCCTTCTTTTTGCCATTCCCTTAGGTAGTCATGATTTCAATCACTTCAAATTTTCCTTATTGTTTAAAAAATCTCCTGGGTGATGTTCTTAAGTATCTTCTTCAAAGATCTACAAAGATGCTTTCCACAGTGAAGTGGGCACCTGGCCTTGGCGAATCTTCTGCACAGTGCTCTTTGGCTCCAAACTCTTCCATCCACTCTGAATGAGCCTTATACTCATGACTACACCGTCTACTTCACAGTGGCATATGTGACGAACCCAAACCTCTGAGCATTCCGGGCTTGGCACTCTCATTACTACACAGTCTAAGAATGTCTCCCTTTGCTTACAGTAGCTTCTCAGGGCTTAATCAGTTCTTTCAGAGCTGAATTCTTTGGTGAGGAGCTTACACAGATTTTAGACTCTTTGGGAGACTCTTAGATATGATGGTATTGGGAAGAGAGACTAAAGATCCTTCCTAGGGTGTCCATAAACAGAAAGGACTCAATTAACTGTTTTAGTGGGCTGGTGAGATGGCTCAGTGGTCTAAAGCACCTACTTGGAACTAGCTTGGCAAAGCATCAGGGACTGCGGTTCAATCCCCCAGCACCACATGCCAGCCAGCCCCGCCCCCTGGTGGGCTGAGCTGGCCACACACCTCTCTCTCTCTCTCTCTCTTTCTCTCAAATAAATAAAAAAAAATTTAAAAAAAATTAAAAAAAATAACTATTTTAGTACTGTGAATAATAATTCAGTTCATAAAATGAACAGAATTCACAAAGGACTGAGGAATGGAGTTAGGGGTGCTTTGCTACTGAGCTGCATCTCCAGCCCTTTCTATTTTTTATTTTGAAACAGGGTCTTGCTAAGTTGCCCAGGTCAGGCTTCAACTTGTAATCCTCCTGCTTCAATTCTTCCAAATGGCTGAAACTAGAGGTGTGGACCCTGCACCTAGCCACAAATATTTCTCAAAAGTAAAGTCTAAAATTAGAGTTTTCCTATTGATTAGTCCCACTGTAGCTCAGTGACAAAGAATATGGCAAGGATACGCTAACAGAAGAAAAAGAAAGTACACAATAAAATTCCAAAGAAATAATCAAAAGCACAATCCTCTGTCTAGCCTTTTAATTTTGTTCATTAAAGAAGAATTTGCAAGGCATTTGAAGTAATGACATCAATCTGCTACCCCTCTTTAAAAGAATGAATTACAGGGTGCCAGAGTAAGAGAACTGGTGACAAGTAATTCACCTGCTCAATATACTCTAACTGGGGTAATTTTCCCTTAATATCATATTTTTACTTTTTTAATTTTTAAAAAACTTATTTGGTACAGGGTCTCACTAGGCAGCATGGACTTGTAGTGATCCTCCTGTCTTAACCTCCCCAGCACTGGGGTTACAGGCGTGTGCCACCATGCCCTGTTTTGGTGGCCAGTATGACATGGGGCTGGCATGGCATGGGGCTGGCATGGCATGTGGTATTGGGGTTTGAACCTAAGTCCCTGTGCTTGCGAGGCAGGTGATTAGACCACTGAGCTATCTCCTCAGCCCATCATATTTTATGTTAATATAAATTTATTTTTAAGGTTATTTCAAAGTATGAGATTTTAATCAAGATTTCATAAAATAATATTTATTAGCTTCAGGGAATATTTATTGTGACTTGGTTAAAATGACTGATTTGATTTTCTTTTCAGTAGAGCTCTTTTTTATTTTATTTATTTTTGAGATGGTGCCTGTGCTGCACAGGCTAAACTTGAACTTGAAATCCTGCCTCACCAACCCAAGGAGCTGATATTATAGGTACGAATCATCATTCCCAGCTGTATGCTTTCTATAATCAGTAATATATACCTGCAATAAAGGGGTAGAAATCCATATACATAACCAGGCAGTGGCAAGTTTTAGTAAAGCAATCTTCAGTGTTTCGCTTTTGGAGGGCATCTATAGTTCAAGCTAATACACACAATGCAACAGTCCCATATTCATCGTAAGTGGCAAGGACATAATCCACATAGAAGGGCCTGATTATTATCAATTAATCTTAATTAACTATATAAGTATGGCTATTCAACAAATGACAAATGAATAAATATTCGGGCAGGGGCCTTTCTAGAGAGGTGGGTGCCATTACTTAGAGAAGGGAAGGAATTTGAGGGAAAGGAATATTTCATTAATTTTACTCTTAGAACTCTTTAACAGAAGAAAATCAAACTACTCAAAAAGAATATACACAAAAAAGATAGCAGTAAGCTATTTTAATACTCTGAAACTTTGATAATTCCTTTATGTATTATTTATGACTAACCAGTAGTAAAGCATAAAGGGTTCTGGGGGGCTGGGAGATAGCTCAGTAGAATAAGTACTTGCCTGACAAGCACAGGGTCCTGAGTTCAATCCCTAGTACCGCAAAAAAAAAAAAAAAAAAAAGGTTCTGGGGAATGTCCACAGAGGCAGTAAGAAAGAGAAGCCATTACTGAGCACTGACAGGAAGGAGGAGATAAACCTCAGAGATGAGGGTGAACACTGCCACCTTTGACCAAAAAATAACAACAAGTAGGGGTAAACATTGCGTCTTGGTAACTCTATTAAAATAGAGCATGGCATATAGTAGCTATTCCCAAATGTCT